TCTGTGAAAATTTGTTCTACTCCGTCGTTTCGGACGGAGTGAACCGTCTCAGTATGACCCTCCCAGTACCGATAAGGAGCTAATACTCTGGTGATCGTTCAAACCAAATGAAATGAATTTCAGGTTTTTTTCCAAATGGAAGACGTTGCACAGGTGCCTGATGGTTTTACTTCAATTTTCTGCGCGGCTTAGCTGGCTTAGTTGTTATTTTTCCGTCGGGTATCTACCACACGTACCCCGGAATATACGTTTGTGGAGAAGTTTCCGGACTTCGTCTGTAGGTGGCGCAGTGGTACATCCTACTGAATAACTGCAGATAAGGAGTGTAACTAGTTGGAATCAATATTGTTTGTTCGGGATACTCAGATGATTCACTCAGTCTGAAATGACCTGCCCGGTACTGACGAGGGTCAAGTACCCCGAAACCGGTCAATCGGTGGTTATCCCTACCAAATGAAATGAATTTCAGCTTGCAGGAATTCACTTGCGATGAATCTTCCAAATGGAAGACATTGCACAGGTGCGTGATAGTTTTACTTCAACTTTCTGCGCGGCTTAGCTGATTTAGTTGTCTTTTCCGTCGGGTATCTGCCACACGTACCTACAAAATCGTAGGTTCACATGAGAGGCAAGGATGAGATGTAATATGTTCATCATTTTTACCCCTACCCCGGAGTATGTGTGTATGTGTTTGTGGAGTAGTTTCCCGACTTTGTATACAGGTGACGCAGTATACATCCTACTGAATCAACTGCAGATAGAGCTTATGACCAGTTGGAATTAATTTAGTTTTTCCGGGATATCCAAAACGGTTCACTCTGCCTGAATTGTCCCCCCTGGTACTGACGAGGAGCTAGTACTCCGAAACCGGTCTATCGGTGGTCGCCCCGACCAAATTAAATTAATTTCAGCTTATCATATAAAGGAAGTTACTGGCGATGAATCTTCCAAATGGAAGACGTTGTACAGGTACCAGATGGTTTTACTTCAACTTTCTGCGCGTCTCAGCTGGCTTGTCATTTTTCCGTCGGATGTCTGCCACACGTACATACAAAATCGTAGGTTTACATGAGACGCAAGGATGAAGTATTTTAGACCTGTCCGAGATGCTGTCAAAATTAAATCAAAATGGCCGCCTGTAGGCACACACGTTGTTTGTTTTAATGGAAAGAAAACTAGAAAAGTCCATAATCAACTTGTCTTTGTGAGTGATTGTGTTGCTGCTTGCTGAAATTCGTTGTTTGAGGCTGATTTTACATATCAATCGTCCTTCATAACATAAAATCATACCTACAACGTGTTGTGTTGTAAATTGCGGAAGTCCTGGAAATCGTGATCGGGTGAACTTTTACAAAATATCTAGTGAATTACATTTTGCACATAGAGAGGACTTGAACGAACTTTCAAAAAGGAGACGCCAAAAATGGATACACGCTATCAGAAGAAAAGATCTCACAGAAGCCAAACTTAAATACAGTAGAATGTGTAGTAAGCATTTTTTGTCTGTTGAAAAATTTATGGGATATTTGATTTTCAATCAAATAATATTGTAGCAAAACCATCCGAGTTGGATGACGAAAATAGTCCTGACTCGGTTTCATCTTTGGCAATGGGCAATGGAGATTTGATGAGATGAATGTTTTCAGTATAGTTTCACTACAAAATTGCAAAGAAACTATACTGAAAACTTCTCATCCCTTGGCATCACACATTTGACTTTTGCCCAGTTCAAGAAGCAAGCTATTCGGAAGATCAAATATTTTTGATATCCTCAAGTTGCCCCAGTTGCTAATTTCAATTAGCACTTATACAACTAACATAATTTATCTTCACAGTTCGAATTCTTTATTAAAACGCACGATTCACTTTTTAGATACAGACTACTGCTCGGGACGAGAAGCGGACGTTTTTATATCGGCAACGAACGCTCCAGATCTCTCTAGGGGTTTCGGCACTCATCTATGCCTTTCGCGGTGGTTCGTCGAGTGCATTCCTTTCGCGGTGAGTCATTGTTTATTCGCTGGCTGAGATATCGGTCAGAGTCGGCTTCAAATTCGTTACAATAAGTTTTAATGAATATTATTCCTGAAGAAGGCCGTCATCCAATTTAAAAAACTGCTTAGCCTTATCACTAAATAGTTGCTTTGGTTTGTTTTTGCCTCATGCTACTAAGATATGGATCCGAAGTAAGCCAAAGTCGATTAAATATATCTTCGTTGCACTCTCTTCTGGAAAACTTTCTAGAAAAACTCTCTCTGTACTGTCGGAAGTGTTTATTTCGAGCTTCCGCAGCTTCTTCCGATAATTGTCCAATCGGTAACAAGGCATGAGCTACAACGTTTGATGAGTGGACCAATGATATGTGTACTGTAGGCGACAGGTTGCCAAGAGTATATATACATTTATTTACATTTCTGCTGTACTCTTGGCGAAGAGTTCATTACTTTTTCGCGGGGGGCACTTTGTTATTTCAATCAATTTTTCTTCCAAATCCTGGAGCTTTCTGTCAAACAGTCGCTGTGGACTTACTCTAACAAGCTCGTCTAGTTTTTTCTTGTCGTAGATTGATTGCTGAAGAATGACGAAAAATACAAGTTTTTTTTTTATACAAATGATTTTACACTCTTTATTCGAAAATAAAGCCTATTAAAGCCTACTGCATATTTTAAAATGTAGTACATACCTTGACCAACAATATCCATAGCAATTTTTTTCACCAATATAACACAAATTATAAATTAATAAATAAGCAAACAAATGAGATTCAAGGGGTTATATAAAAAATATGTTTAGTGAACAAACGCTAGGTTTCAACTGCTCTCATGTCACAAATAATGGACATACACAGGTAACGATGGTCACAAAGGATTACCCATTTATCTACCTATCTTAATGTCCATTATTACTTGTGACAATTGAAGTTGACAAATTTCATTTATGTCCAGGTTTTAGGTGATTTTACCGCTCTGTGCATTGCCAAAAGTGTACTGATTCGAATGGCACTTCTTTCGGTTGAATTGAATAAGTATTCACTGAGACGTTTCAGTTCAAAGTAGAATCACAAAAACGGACAAAACCTTTGAAACAATCTAATATTATTTATTCGCATAACAAAACTCATATAATTACAGTTTTTTCACAACAATAGCTAGATAACAACAATATCTAACTATCCAAAGTGAATGTTCATCAGATATGTCACGTTGAAAAAACTATCAAGAAAAGAGGTTCATATAAATTAATTATGAACATCCATAAATATGGGTAGATCAATAAATCACAAATATACATACGAGAGTGGTCTGAGGAGTTTCCGAAGATACAAGATATTTTTCAGGATTTTTGTGTTTTTCATCATGGCCTCCTTTTAACTTTACACACTTCTCCCAGCGATACTCCGATCTCTGTAACCCATCCAAATAGTACTCGGCGTTTTTCTCTGCAAAATAATTGTTCACGAAGGTGATTGCCTCTTCATTTGACAAAAATATATGTCCTCCGGGGTTAGATCTGGTTCAGTTCAAACTGTTCAGTACAGTTCAAAAACAGTTCATTTCAAACTAATTCGTGGATTTTCGCCATGGCAACCCCTGACGTATGAGACGGTGCGTTGTCTTGGTGAAACAGGGTTTTCTTTTTCTGCAAATATGAACGTTAGTAGATGAGCAAAGGAGATTTTGGGGCGGAAGTGGCTTATCAGTGTTAGCGGTGGCGTTATCGCTGTTTGTGAGAGAAAACTAACAATAGTATTAGGTGTACAGGGTGTTGTTTTGAATCGTTATCTCTCAAACAGCGATAACGCCACCGCTAACACTGATGAGCCACTTCCGCCCCAAAATCCGCCTTGCTCATCTACAGCCGTTTTTCGACAAGTTCTGCTTTCAGCTTGTCAAGTATTGATACCTAGTGTGCTTCTATATTGGTTTTCTCTTTTTGAAGATAATCGATGGAAATAACTCCATGACTATCCCAAAAAACAGTCGCCATCACTTTCCCAGCCCAAAAAACAGTTTTTGCTTTTTTTTGGAGTAAAGTCCACTGTTTGGACTCTATTTTCATTTCGAGCGTATAATGGCTTATCCAAGTTTCATCTACAGTAATTATTCGGCGTCAAAACTCGGATTCATTGCGCTAAAGTGCGCCAAGGGGGCGTTGGAAATGTTCATTCAATCAATTAATCAAACATTTATTGAATCAGTTTTCCTTCACAACCACATACAAAAGACATAACATCATCATAAAATATTGGCTGATTCAACAGGTCAAACAAACATTAAAAAAATCAATATAAAACATAAAACACACATAAAAAAAATAATAAGCTACAATCACAGAGTAGTATGCTTTTTGCATACTACTATATTTGAGGATTTAATGTCCTCACTAAGCTTATTATATACTTAACCCCACAGCACATGGGGTGATTCTTTGATACTGTTAATCTATTATAAGGTTGATGTAGTTGAGAGTTATTTCTGGTGAAATATTCATGGATTTGATCATTTCTAGAAATAATTGAAATATTGTTTTTTATATAAATATCAGAGTTTGGTAGATATACAAACTGGGCATTGTTAATAAACTATAACGAACAAGTTTTTGGTCTAACGTGAGCAAATGGCGGCACCCAACGTGCGGACAGCTTTCTCATGCCTAAATGTTGATTCAATATGTATCAAACACACTCTTTCGACATGTTCATAACCTCTGCTATCTCTCTTACTTTAATTCGGCGATCGTCTAGCATCATTTGGTGAACTTAGATGATGTTTTCGTCGTCAGTTGCTAAAAATTTCGTTGTGGAAAATGTTGGTGCAGAGTCCCCACACACAGAGTCCAACATCCAACTCATCCAACAAATATTCAATGACATCTCTATATTGGATTTTGTCCATTTTCAACTTTCTACTCACTCAGAGGACTGTTACATAACAACTGCGCATCCAAAATGACTGAAACTTTGATAAATAACTGTCTAAAGGTGAACAACGAAATTCATAATGTTGAGGGCGGAAACTTTTTAGACCAACCTCGTATTATATTTACGTTATTAAAACATACATATCATACAAATATATAAAGTTGTTCATTTCATTATTCTTTCCCGAAAGTTGAGCTGGTCAGGCCCTACCCCTAAAGCAGCGATTGGGAAGTTCATCTTCCAGATACGACGTCTATCGAACTGAGCCAGATGATGAAACAAAAATAAAGTCCTGTCAGCTGTTTTCATATTCTGTTTCGGTTTCTTGGGCTTTCCGTTAGTGAATGTAATTTATTTCACCTACTCATCAGTTTCTAATGTCTATTATATTCACATCAAAAATTCATTATCAGGATTAATCTTCAAAAACTTCTTCAATAAATTCAGCTACATTATCCTCGTTTCTATCTGGTGACTTGGGAGTAATGGGAACTATGTGTTCAACAGGTATACCAAGTCCCTTTGCTAATTCCTCGATAATATCTTTATTTAAATAGTAAGTAATGGGCATATTATTCGTTTTGTTCAGATCTTGCCGCAATTCGAAGCACATTTGTTTTGCTTCTGAAAAATTACCATTTTTCACATAATGATGTATCATGAGAGCATAGATATCTCCTCGACGTACAGAAGGCTCCAATTCTTCACCAGACAGAAGCAGCTGCTGACAGTGTGCTACACCTGTAAATGTAACATTCAAAATTATTCTGTAACAGTTCGAGAATTCCTTAAAAAAAGGTTATTCGCATCAGTCTAATACCATATCAGAGGAAGTATGATTATGAAACTGAATTACATCAACATATATATTTTTTAACTACCCAATACAACAATCATTCTAAATCAAATCAGAATATATTTATACTTTTTCGGTTACACAGATGAAAGTTTGTTTTTATTATATGGAATCGGCCAGTACTTGATGAAAATCTATAACGCATGCCAGAAACACTTTATTGTGAGATTTTCACTAAACAGTTTTACAAAAACGCAACGCAGGCAGTATGAACATGCCTGGGGAAGCTATTGTACAGCGAAACACATGTTGCGTTCTTGAAAAACTTTAGTGAAATTCTCACAATGATTTTTTTTTGTTTCTGTAAAAATTTGTTCTACTCCGTCGTTTCGGACGGAGTGAACCGTCTCAGTATGACCCTCCCAGTACCGACAAGGAGCTAATACTCTGGTGATCGTTGATCGTTCAGACCAAATGAAATAAATTTCAGCTTTTTTTCCAAATGGAAGACGTTGCACAGGTGCCTGATGGTTTTACTTCAATTTTCTGCGCGGATTAACTGGCTTAGTTGTTATTTTTCCGTCATCTACCACTGTACCCCGGAATATACGTTTGTGGAGAAGTTTCCGGACTTCGTCGTCAGGTGGCGCAGTGGTACATCCTACTGAATAACTGCAGATAAGGATTGTAACTAGTTGGAATTAATATTGTTTGTTCGGGATACTCAGATGGTTGACTCAGTCTGATATGACCTGCCCGGTACTGACGAGGGGCAAGTACCCCGAAACCGGTCAATCGGTGGTTATCCCGACCAAATCAAATTAATTTCAGCTTGCAGGAATTCACTTGCGATGAATCTTCCAAATGGAAGACATTGCACAGGCGCCTGATAGTTTTACTTTAACTTTCTGCGCGGCTTAGCTGATTTAGTTGTCTTTTCCGTCGGGTATCTGCCACACATACCTACAAAATCGTAGATTCGCATGAGAGGCAAGGATGAAATGTTATATGTTCATCATTCTTACCCCTACCCCGGAGTATGTGTGTATGTGTTTGTAGAGTAGTTTCCGGACTTTGCCTACAGGTGACGCAGTATACATCCTACTGAATCAACTGCAGATAGAGCTTATGACCAGTTGAAATTAATTTATTTCGTCCGGGATATCCAAAACGGTTCACTCTGCCTGAATTGTCCCTCCAGGTAGTGACGAGGAGCAAGCACTCCGAAATCGGTCCATCGGTGGTCGTCCCGACCAAATGGAATTATTTTACTTCGGCTTTCTGCGCGGTTTAGCTAGATTAGTTGTTATTTTACCGTCGGGTATCTGCCACACGTACCTACAAAATCGTAGGTTCACGTGACAGGCAAGGGTGAGGTGTTTTCAACTGTATTTGGGCATATCTTATACACCTCTCCGGAATATGTTTATCATGACCAAAGTATTTTTAAATTCTTAACAAAATATTGAATATAGTGATATATATTAACCTGTCTTTGCATCTCCTCTTTCAAACAACCGTCTAATATCAACGAACTTTTTAACCATCGCCAGTCTCTGTTGGACAATCTCTGATGCTTTTTGGATTTGTTTTGAATCTCTTGGAGAAGTTATTTTTTGCAAACATCTTGATGCTTCAGTTAGAGCTCCGAATGCTTTTTCATAATTTTGAAATTCATCAATTTCCACCTGAAAATAATCAAAAATATGTAATGCTGTCCACTTTCCATCTTCACGAGTACCTGCGCACATGCAACATAAAAGTTGGCCAACAAGTCGAGTGCTTTTCCTTTGGAATAGAATGTTATTATGTTGCGGAGAATTTCTGGTTGATTTTGCCAATCGAGAGACTGTAAATAATTTGCAGCCATTATGTATATTTCTCGCTGCCTGGAAACACCGGCAAAAAATATAACTTTTTCGGTGTCTCCAGATTTCAACAAAGCTTTCATTGCACGAATCTGAAAACAAAATATTCTCAAATGAGAATCTTACATGAAATAGGGGAACATTCATATTTTGTATTGTCTTTATTATCCCAAGAAACATTAAATGTTTGGAATAGGAATATGACTATGAATATTATTGATTTTTGTGAAATTTATATTTGAAATTTTTAAGTCATTTGCTATTGAATGAATAAAACAACAAATTTTTTGTTTGTATTGTGTGCTCAAACCTGATATATTTTTTGATTGATACAAATTCACTGTTGGTTCTGGGTACAATTATTTCAACCAATAAAAAAATTCAGTCCACTTTCCAGTGGAATTGAACGTCGCCCAGAAAACTTACGGTGAAAGGGGTGAAAGAGAAATTATTATATCAATTCCGACATTTCAAGTGTTTACCAAACAATTATTTCACCATATTCAAGTCAAATATTTCTAATATGGATATTAAGAAATTTTTGACTTTTTGAGATTTTCAATACTGAAACAACCTGAACCAATAACACAAACCTTATCACCCGCTTGAGTGAATTTTTTAGTAGCGAGATGATAATTTCCTTGCAACATCAAACTTTCGGCGAGGGTTTCCAATACAACCATGCGAACATCATCTGCAACGGAATCTTTAGCAGGTGTGAGTTTTTCTGATAGGTCTTCCGATAACTGAACATTATATTTCAAACACAAGTCAATTGCTTCAGTATACTGAAAATAAAAATGAATTTCTCAAGTTGCCCCTGAATGATTCACTAGCCAACGTGAGAGTTTGAAAGCATCCTGACTGCGACTTCAATATCAAAAATTTTCCATCACGTAAAGATTTTGAGTTATAGTTATTTTCATTTTATACAAAAATTTTCACATATTATAGGGAAATATAAGATCGAAACAAGAAAAAAACAAAATATTTTGAGTAGTAGTTTTCTAATTTGTGGTCCAACAAATAAACATATAAACTTTCGTTTATGTGTTTCATCGTTTTCCCTCATAAGGAACCAACAATAATCTCCCATCATTGCTGCATCTCATCTGCCTTGAAAACGTTGCTCCATGGTCAGTATGTCATGGTGGAACCTTTCCCTTGTTCGTCACTGACAGCACCCAAATTTTCTGGGAAAAAATTCAAATGGGAGTGCAAGAAATTTTGAGAGACATGCGTCATCCCATTTTGCAGTAGTTTTTAAGTAGTTTTTCTACAAGAATACGTAATTTTCTACTTTCTTGTTCCCTAAAAACTCCGAAACAATTCTTTTGAAAGAACTCCACGCAGCTAATTCAATATTACGTAATTTTTGATCAAACTGTTGATCACTTAGTAGTTTTCTAATTTGGAAAATTTTGGAAAAACGGGTTTAAGATATTTAAACGCATCACCTTCTTTGTCTAATGTTTTTAAAGAATGTTTCATTTATCCCAGGTTAATGTATAATGGAGGTAACAAAACGTTTTTGGGATTATTGAGAGGTATATTCTTCACGTTAACTTCACCTAGAATATATTTATCTCTCGGAGGCCATTCTTTTACTTAATAATGGCTCTGTGTTGTTTTTTTTTATTTAAACAAGAACCGCATCAACCACAGAGGGTTATTAGCGGGGTACATTACAAGTTATAACCTACTGTTCCAAAGGCAAAGAAAACAGCAAAACTTCGTAAATCCGCCCTGAAGACCTAGTAATTGTCCTATAATTTTTAGGTCACCATATATTTGCCACTTATACGTATTATAACTTATTGCATTTAGAATAAGTGACATACTTTCGTGTGTTTCCTTCATGGTATGTGCAAGAGTAATAGAGGGTCTTTTGTTACCATTATAGAGCAGAACGGCTTTTAAACTTGTTTTAGACGAATCTATAAATGAACGCCATTCGTCCAGGTTATGTGCAAATCCTAATTTTTCCATCACACCGTTTGGATTTACACAAACACACATTTTATTCTGCATAGTAAAAAATGAGGATAGCTCAAGATTACGGTTCCTTAATATTGTAACTTTGCTTTTAGGGGCTAGTAAATTCCATTGTTGTAATCTAGACTCTAATAGTTCAGCATTATCTTTGGACAAGTGGATGTTTCGAACTAGGTCAATTAATTCAGGTTGTTCGATTAAATGGGGTGTTCTATCTCCACTCTCGGGAAAATAAGAACTGCCTTTTTTCTGGCCTATCATGGGAACCTGCCTGGTCATCTTACATTTCCAAATCTTCCTCCCAATTTACCGGGGGGGTGTTGGAACTGCTAAACCATCTCCATGAAGAACCAGCCTTCTAGCAGAAGGAGTATCCTGATATACAATTTTGTGTTTGCTCTTTCTTGAAAAACCAGACACAATTGTCACGCAAAAGTAACAGTCGTAATGATTTTTTTGTTTCTCGTCAAATCATTGGAACTGCAAAGGCATAGAAGACCGTTTGCCATTCAACCAGTTACTTAAATTTGCTGCACAGGTTTGGCAACATACGTGAGGAGCTCAATCTCGATCTTGATCACCAACAACACATCCAAAATACTCATCAACACATCCAAAATACTTATAGTAAGCTATTTTGGTCATTTGATTAAATGGCTGTTTCTGCGAATTAGGAGTAAACTGACTACATATATAGCAAAAACTATCTACGGAATTAATATCTCCTGCACTAGCATAAATTTTCAGCGCTGATGACATATCTCCTTGGGATTCTACGTATTGTCCCCACCACTTCAACATTTCACTGGAATACAAATTTCTTCATATAAGTATAGTCTATCCATTCCCAAATGGAACGGCAATAAAAATGAAAGCACTACGAGGGGTGTTCATAATCACTGCCCCGCATATGGGAAATGTATATACTACCAGTGCGCTTATGTTCAAAGCGTCCCTGGTACAGTCTAAACATTTATGGCCTGTGGCCCCTAGTCGCCCTGATAGTTAGTAAACGTGCTATCAAATGTAGTTGAGGAATAAAGGCTCGACTAGCTGGACTGGCTGAATACTAATTATTTGGCCGATTCACAAATTAATTTGCAGTTAGTGGTTCCACCAGTTAATTAGCGAAAAATCAATCAGGATAATCATCATTTAACAAACAAAGTCCACATCCGACAAAAAAACTTTAGGTATATAAACAGCTAATCCTTGTCTTTAGATTCAGTATCAATTTGCTTCTTCTGAAGATGCTAACCTTGTTAGCGAAACGCGCGTCGAGTGCAAGAATATCAGTTTGGTGTCAGGGTAATTGATCTTTAGACAAAGTTTTCAACTTTTACACCAAAGGTTCCAATCTCATCGTTTAAACTGATTTTTGTGAAAGTTTGTGATATTGATGACTTATTTATTTTGTGTAAATTCATCTTCAATTTAATGATATATAAATATTGAAACTATCTCGTTCGACAGTTCTTCGAGTCATTAAAATAAGGGATGTCATTGACCATGCAACGAAACGAAAACAAAGGAATAAAAAATTCACAAACGTTGACGGTGCTATAAAAGATGTGATTCGGCGAACAATTTATGGTATGTACCAAAAAAATCATGTACCAACCTTGGAAATGATTTGGTATAACTTACTTGACTATCCCGATTACAATCACAATTCTTTAGAAACTCTACGAGGTGGCTTATTATCTTGTGGTTTCAAATATAAAAAATTGAACAATCGGATGGTCATAAAGGAATCGACACGCATTATTCAATTCGACAAGAATATTTCAGGCGAATGAAAAGCTACCGAGAATCCAGCAGACATATAATCTACCTCGACGAAACTTGGTTTGACACCCATGATGTTGTCAAATATGGCTGGGTAGACGAAACCAAGTATTGTGCTTTGAACACATCTTCTTCAAGGGGAAAACGTGTTACAATTTTGCATGCCGGGAATGAAAGTAGTTTCGTACCTAACGCTTTGCTTCTATCGGCCAAAAATATAAAAGATTCGTCTGCTGATTACCATGAAGATATGACTGCGACTTTATTCGAAATCTGGTTCAGTGAGCAGCTTCTCCCAAATATTCCTCCAGACTCGGTTATTGTTATGGATAATGCTTTGTATCATTCTCGGTTATTGACTACAATACCAAACAATAACACAAAAAAGCAGATATTGTTGATTTCATGCGAAATCATGACATGGAAATACCCGAAAAGATTCCAACGAAAAAGGTATTACTGGCGACCATTAAACAAAGTAATTTCAAAAAAGAAAGAGTATATTATTGATTCGATGTGTGAAACACGTGGTCATATTCTCTTACTTTTGCCTCCATACTATTGTGTGTTCAATCCAATTGAAATGGTTTGGGCCACAATGAAAGAAAGCTTGCGGAAATGTAATCAGTCACCGACTTTGAATGCTGTAGTGCTTGGCTATAAGGCGAGTGGTGAATGAAGTAGGTAATAGTGATGTGTGGAAGAACTGTGTGGCCCACGTTATAAAAGAAGAGAACAAATATTATGTGCAAAGTTCCATAAATCCGATCGTTATTCAACCCGATGAAGATTCCACCTCATCCAAATATAGCGAAGAAGAATTTTGATTTTTCTAGCAATTTTGTTGGCCTCTATTATTATGTAAATATATGTTTGACGAGAATTTGGTGTGATTATTTGTGTTTTCATTGTATTTTAGAGTTCTCGACTTGGAAATGAACTACCTTAAATTTCGAAGTTTTTCATAATTATCCATGGTGGAAAAATTCAGTTGAGATAACTTCTTGATGGGGCGATCAAATGCTATGATTGTAAGAATAAGTAACTCAAAAACTACCACTGAAAAATAATATGCCGACGCCTATGTCGAGGCGAGAATTCCTTCTCTGTACCGTTCCAATTGGTATTGGAAATACTATACCAATATAACAAACCAATCTACAAAAAGTGAACCGTTCAAAACTTTCTATTTTTTTTGTCCACTGCCCATAAAGGTTTCTGCCAAAACAGCCCAACAAATTAACCAAGCATTTATCAATGATAGTAAAGGATTTGAGGACCCTGCTGAAGACTGACCCACCACAAACGGTGCGTGGAATGGCGGAACAATAGGGCGTCAGCTACCATGTAGTTTTTGCTGGTTTAAAACATATTGGAAAGATCAAAAAGCTCGAAAAGTTGATTCCTCACGATTTGAACGATCAAAAGAAATTGTCACGTTTTGAGGTTTGTTCTTCTTTGCTTCTATGTAACCAAAGCGATCTTTTTTTGGATCGGATAGTCACGTGTGATGAAAAGGGAACTGAAAGAGCCGACCTTCAATTTTGGAACGGGCACACTTGCAGACCGGTTTCGGGCTCCTTAGCCACTCGTCAGTGCAAGATAGTGGCCATCATCGATCTAATATATCCAACGCCGTTCGTGGTATTAGCAAGTGGAGTAGTTGTTTTCTGATAGGCGTCAGTCCATTCAACCTACTGTGTAGGTATATTCGAGACTGGATTGAACATTTGAAGTTTATTTCTTTAGATTTGTTTACTGCCTGTTTTCAAGCATAGCCCACTGACTAATAAGAAAGTTATGACGTGTCTAATAGATTCGTTTTCACCCGGGATGTAATTATAATTGAAGACTCCAGGGGAAAAACGACCTTAGTCCCATCAGACGGAATTTGAGAAAAATCAAATTCAAAGTTTCCCAACTAAAAACAATATGTCANTAATCCTAACTCGATAGCTGAATGAAGCTGTATTAATTCGTGCCTCATCTTCATTCTTTCGTGGACGTCGACGCATGACTGGGAGAACAGTAATAAGACCAGCAAGGTAAGCATTTTGAGCATTGGTGTCCCTCAAATCGTTAAAATCGCGAATTATTCTTCGGCGTTCTGGCTCACAAATCAAAGTGAAACAGTGAAATCGTGTACACCGGCAGTCAGGCCCAAGTTCGTGGTTGGTAGCTCGCAAGGTTTTCATTACATCTCTAACCCTACCTGTTTTTTTCTTTTTTTTCGTTCCGCTGCTCAAAGGTCCTCTCTCTTCTTCACTGGACGCAGAAAAGTCACTGTCCATTGCACTTTAATACTGCAGAATCACACACGTTTGAAAAACAGTAAAGTTTCAAGAGAAATTGTTACGGTACGACGTATGGACTAGAACAAAACACAAGAGGATTGATAAGAACATGTTGGGTGATGCACGCCGATCACTGTGGTTTACACAAACGACAATGGTAAAAAAGGACTGAAGCCGTTCTTCCCATGGCGCGCTAGGACTCACGTCGTTTTTCCCTAGCAGGGCGGATGTTCTTAAGCTTATTTCTATGGACTCCAGTCACTCTTGCCATTTTTCGATTCAGTCATATTATAGTACTTCCCTAATGCTACTAGATGGCGCCTCAAACTCATTTTGTTGACAAAGTCGACTGAAGTCGTTTTTCCCCTGTGCCCTTCAGATATGTACGCTAGAGGAGAACAGATCGGTGGTATTTTTTTAATGTAAGAAATTATTACTTGTCTTTGGTTTTAGACATATAAGCCTGTAACTGTTGTGGATGATCACTGAACATTCTAGGAATATCATACAAATGTGTGTTTGCTCTTTCATATCTAGCAGCAGCCTCTTCAAATTCACCAGACAGTTCCAAAGATTTAGCCCATGCATGTTCGGTGTTTCTCAAATTGATTCTGTCTTTAGATTCTGCTACTGCATGAGCTGCATCCATTTTATTCCTGCTTCGAAGCAACTTATTTTGCAAATCATGTCGACCACACTGTATGTATAGCTGCTCAGCTTCATCCTGAAAAAAAAAAGGTAAATAAATTGACATCAACAAATATTGTTCGCATATTTCTATGGGAAATGATTTCAGCATTATGCTGATGATTATACATAATGATATGTGAATATTCAAGGATGTAAATCTACATGAAAAATAACGATAGGCTGCTTTATAAACTATGGTCAGAAAATAGGGGTTATGGTACAAAGAAAAACCGGTTATGGTACAAGGTAAAACGGTTACGGTACAAGAAAAAATGGGTTACGGTACACGGGAAAACTGGTTACGGTGCACGGGAAAACGGGTTACGGTGCACAAGAAATCGGGTTACGGTGCACGGGAAAACAGGTGACGGTACATGGAAAAACGGGTTACGGTGCACGGGAAAACGGGTTACGGTGCACAGGATAAAGGGGTTACGGTGCACGGAAAAACGGATTACGCTACACGAGGAAACGAGTCACGCTGAAACAAAAAACCGGAAAGAGGGGAAAGGAAATAGCGCAATCAGGTGTTCTATACATAGATAGCCGGCAGTTGATGGCGAAGCTTGGCTTTGGAAAGACCACCTTTGTGAGCCATGTTTTTCATAGTTAAGAGCCGTCATAGCCAATTCTTTTTTAGCAGTGTTTTTGTTTAGTGCAGAAGAATTTGAAAATTGTATTCATGACCCGGTCAGTATCACTGATGAAATCTGTAACAGAGAAAAACAGCACTACTTGGTTCAAGATATGAAGCAAGTTGCTTGCTTTCAGTGAGCTGCAGAGGAAGGCAGAAGGTGAATCTTTATGGGCGGCCGATGCCGAAGCTTGGCTGTGCAACTCACCGCCTTTGGGAGCCTCGTTTATCATCGATATTAGAGGTCACATATTATCGTTGTTATTGATTATTGTCACTATTTATGTCATACCTATATGATCAGAAAAATTAATAATATTCATCATTACTGCTAAGTGGAGCTATCTAAATATTTTCACGTAAAATGTATGAAATACCTAACAAACTTTTAACAAATATGCAGTTAACTCAAACGGTAATGAACACAATTAGACTTGTCTTCAAAACGGCAATAACCAAATCGATAAAATTAATACTATACAACTATCATGATATAATCTGGATTCATTAGTATGAGGAATGGACATGTCCAACATTATGTTACAAATGCCCCAACCTAACCAAAAGTCCTACTGGGATTTAGATCTCATCGACCTGCTCGTATATACACTATCTGCTCAAAAAATTAGGTGAATTTCAATTTTTTTTCGAAAAATATTTATTTATTCATCAATTTCTATTTTGTCCCTTTCAGAGTAGTCCCCCTCAGATACAATACATTTGTGCCAGCGTTTCTTCTAGTCCTCGAAGTAGTTCTGATATGCACTTTTTGGTATGTTTTTGAGCTTTCAACGATTCAGTTTTCATCTCCTCAATCGTCGCAAAACGCCGTCTTTTCATAGGTCTCTTCAGTCTTGGAAATATGAAAGTAAGTTACTTAGAGGGTAGATACTACTATGTAGAAGTTAGCAGAAATAAATCAGAATCTGAAAATTATTCCTCGTGGTTCCTCAGGGTTCTATATTAGGTCCATTTTAATAGATTCCAAACCAAGTTACGTCACGACGTTTCGATTGTTAGTATCCACAATCGTCTTCGGGTGATAACTGGACTTATTCCTTCGAGATCTGACTATTTATAGGTCATTCGAGTGCTTTCACCCATCCCCTCTTCCCTGTCTCCGCTTCATTGGTTTTAGCGGGAGACGACCGTTTGGCGGGAGATGACCGTTTGGCGGGAAATGACCGTTTGGTCTTTCGTTAAATGAAAAAAAAAACTGTGCTTTTACGTTTTAACCAAGTTTCGTCAAGATGTTTCGATTGTTAGTATCCACAATCTTCTTCGTGTGATGACTGGACTTATTCCTCCGAGATCTGACTATTTAAAGGTCATTCGAGTGCTTTCACCTATCCCCTATCTTCGCTTCATTGGTTTTAGCAGGAGATGACCGTTTGGCGGGAGATGACCGTTTGGCGGGAGATGACCGTTTGGCGGGAGTTGGTCATTTTTCGCTTGACTAGAGGTTTCCCAACCCAACCCAAAAGTGCTTCTCAGATAATGGTCTTTCGTTAAATGAAAAAAAAACTGTGCTTTTACGTTTTAATCATTCAAGAACCACTCCAGATCACAATTAATGGATCAATTCAACAACAAGAGGAGATAAAATTTTTGGGTTTGAAGATAACAGAAAATCTCAAATGGAACAAGCATATTGATACGATTTGTAAAAAAGATATCCTCAATATCTTATTGTATTCAACAACTACGCTGGAATGTAAATAGATCACTGTTATTAATGTACTACCATGCATACTTTCATTGTAATATTTCCTATGATATTAAAGCTTGGGAAGCATCTAGTGATTGTTCCAGGATAATCAAGATTCAAAACAGAACCATAAGGTATGTAGCAGAAGTTACTAAAAGGACAAGTTGCAAACTCATCTTCCAAAATCTCAGAATATTGAGTGTTACAAGTATAAACATTTATGAGACATTAAAATATGTAAAATCGCACCTAACCAGTTTTCCTACTCTTAATGATAATGAGAATTATAATACTAGAAATTCCCTACTCTGTTGGAAGTGCCAACACACAGATTAGTTGTATCTGAATCATGTCCCAGGCTTATGGCCATTAAATTGTACAATAAACTTTCAAGTACAATAAAAAATCTGGCTCTGAAACAGTATAGCTATCAAATCAAAGAGTTGCTCCTGCATAAATCCTATTATTCTCTCAAAGAATATATAGATAACTTATGACCCTGTACATGTGTAACATTTTAGGAAGATTTTAATAATGATGCTGTTACATAAATAACAGATTATTTTTGGTTTTGACTTTTATATAGTATGTACATGTCCAACATTTTAGGCCGATTTTAATAACGATGCTGTTGCATAAATAGCAGATTATTTTAGGTTTTAACTATTATATATTATCTATGTAAATTGTATATTGTGCCTCCAAGTGCACGGAATTTGTATTTTTAATTTTGTATTTGTACACGTTTTGACATACTCAATGTGATCTATAGATGATCCAACTGAATAAATATTATTATTATTGATTAACCTTACCAGCATACCAAGATGAACAGCAAGAACTGCAACTTTTGCTTCATGAGGTATGCTGTCATCCATCAAAGCAACTTTTAGTGCTCTAGCAGCTGCAGCATTACCCATATGACCCAGGCATACACCAGCTACATCCAATCTTCTAGTTTTCACACACATTCTCGCTAAGCTAGCCCAAACACCACGGCTTTGTACTAACTTAATGGATTTGAATGCAGCATCCATATTACCTTGAAATGAATGTAAAAGTAATCAACAATTTCTAATATTTCAACCTACCTAGAGTTAAGTTATAACTGAAGTCAAGAATTGCTTCCCGGGTAGCTTTGTCACAAGTCTCTAGACCAATGAAATCATTCATAACCTCTTTGACTATACTCATCTTTTGGAGAGTAATGATGAAAGGACTTGAACACGCTAAAATTCTGGTTTCAGAGTCAATCCCTACGATGTCATGTATTCTAATAGAGTTTTCAGATGATATAAACATAGTTATCAAAATCTGGTCCTCATCTTTAGGTTTTCTTTTCTCTTCTGTAAATGAAAATTGTAACAAAAAAAACGTACCTGAAAGTAGAAGATTCACCTGCAGTAGATTTTGATCTGGCAAGAAATCCTGTTTTTGCCCTTGGCACCTTGAGCTTTTTGGCAACACATACTAGCAACCTGGAATCATCATTATCCCAATAGAAGTCGATAGGAACCCTATTTCGACAAATGTCATCAAACTCCAGCTGCTTGTCATTGACACTATCAGTTATGTCGATATTTCTACCCTGTTCCAATTCACTATATTCATAATCACCGATATTTTCAGGAAAATCGTATTTTCGAAAGTCATACACATTAATATCATCTTTCTCGATATCCCAAACATAAAGCTTGCCATCCGGTACCAAATTAGCAGCAGCTAAAGTTAAGGCGACTTTATTTCCCTTGGAGTTGGTTTTTGCTTGTATAATTTCTCCGAAATCACTTATCATATCATACACGTTCCTCACAGGGGTTATGAGTTTGGGTTGGTGTGAAATTAGGTCATAAATTTTCAAATATCCCTCCATTGTGAATGTAGTTAAGTAGTGAGATGTAACATCCATACCAATTGGCTTCAATAAAATATTATTATTATAAACTATGGTTCGAAAATACGGGTTATGGTAGACAGAAAAACGGGTTACAGTACACGGGAAAACGGGTTACGGTGCACGGGAAAACAGGTTATGAAAGCGAAGTAACTCTTAAATATATCAATGCTCATTCCCTCTATTTCACCTGCCACAGAGTATGATATACTAGACATTGTCATTAACCTAAGCCACTCAAATTACACCGGTGACGACGGAATAAGTACGAATATATTGAAAAAAATGCATAAATTTTATAGCTGAACCTCTTACCTACTTTTGATCAATTGCTCCTTGGAAGAGGGGATTTTTCCTGAGTGCCTGAAGATTTCAAAAATTGTGCCAATTCATGAGAAGGGAAATGACACTGACATACAAAATTTCATACCAATTTCCCTCATTAGCCCATTCTCAAAAGTATATGAAAAATATGTTTCAAGCCTAATGATAATTTTTTTCAATAAATGTGGTCTATTTAATGTGAACCAGTTTGGTTTTCGCAAGGGATCGTCCACAAGTCAAGCGATTACACAGTTCCTCAATAACGTGTACAGGGAGTTGGATGAAGGTAAAAAGACGCTAGGGATTTTCATATACTTAAGTAAGGCCTCTGATCTGGTAGATCACAAAATTCTTCTATCTAAGCTTGAAATGTATGGAATCAGGGGAATAACCCACAAATGGTTTGCAAGTTACTTAGAGGGTAGATCCTACTATATAG